ACTTGTTGGTGCTTGACTAACTGATGCCTTCTGTGAAATTCAGTCTCCAAAACTAGATGTTTTTTAGACTTTCTCCATATTCATAGACGTTCAAAGATGAAAGGTAGAAGGAAACCACTCCCATTTACTAAGTAACTGCTATATGCCTATAGGAATATTTGACATAGGAATTATTATCTCCATTTTATAGATGAGAAAATGGAGGCTCAAAGAAATGTGGAATAACTTGACCAAGTCATACAAACAAGCCAGTAAAGAGGGAGCAAGAATTTCATTCCAGTTGGCTAATTTTATTATCCCTTGATCAGGAAATATTGGCAAGGCTTTGTTTTGTCTATGAGAGTTTTAAAAAATCAAATTATTCTCAGGCTATAGAATGCTAACAGTGGATTTGAGTGACTTGTATCAATGTATGGCCTCTTGATTTTGCTGACTTAAGCATTTTCTATCTTTATCCTGGACAGACAAGCACAGTTTTTGTTTGATCTCAGCACCCAAGAAAGGACAGTACTCAGACCAGTACTGAACACTAGGGAAATCAATTGGACAAAATTTGTTTACTGAACTGAGATTTCTCTATTTATGTAATAAATCTTTGTACAGCATTTACTATATGGCTTGCCCTGTTTCGAGCACTTTCAAACATACTAAATTCATCTTCACTGAGGAGGAGGTAGGTGCCATTGTAATCCTCTTTGTACAGGTGAGGAAACTGAGGCACAGAGATGTTAGGTAACTAGCTCAAAATCACACCGCTAGAGTGAAGCTGGCTCCTTAGTTAGGATCTTAACTGCTATGCTAGGCAGCCCTATACCTGGATGAAACCCAGTTATTTCTTGGGCAGAGGCGTCGGGGCTGCAGCTCTTGTGCTTTCCTTCATCTGAGGACTGTGCGCCACCATCCATGGGCCCTACTGTATCCTTTGTTCCTGCTCCGATGCCCCAAACACTTGCTTGTCTCGGATCTAACAGGGCAAAGGAAGAAGTTCTCTCAGAGTTCAACAGGGCGCTGTCCATGTGCTCAGTGCTGATCAGGCCTCACATTTCCCTTGAAGGAAAGAGGAAGGGAGTTCAACAGGTATTGAGCACACACTGCATGCAGCTCGGTGCTTTACATATAACTGGGGACATTGAGTGTTGGCCAGTGCCACGCACTGTCCCAATTACTTGTCATGTCATTGAACATTTAATTCTCACAATCATGCTACATGGTGAGGACAATTTCTCTTTGTTTTGTGGATAAGGAAACTGAGATATAAAAGATTAAGTAATTAGCCCAAGGACACAGAGCCTAAAAATGGCAGAGCTGGGATCTGAACCCACAAATGCTGCCTTGAGAACATGAGCTCCTAGCCATTTTGCCTACAGCTTCCACAGGGTTTCAGAGGCATAGAAAACACATCACTTTAATGTTCACAACTACCTAGCAGGTGACCACTTTTCCTCCTGTAATACTGATTAGAGAGCTTGGTTCAGAGTGGCCTGTTAACTTGTCTTAGCTCACATGATGAGTTAATGAGAGAGGCATGGAGTGAAATTCCGGGACAGCCCAGAACCTGTGCTCTGTCTGTGGCACCAGGATGCCTCTCTGTCTCTGGCTTCTCAACCAGAAGCCACGTGTATGCATAACCTGAAAGAGGATATCAAACACTGCAGGGAGAAAACATAATTAACCAGAGTAGAAATCCAGTAAGCCAGTGCCAGATATTTAAGGTAAAATTATTTACTACAGCACATTGCAAAGGGGTTTGGTCTTCTTTGCCTCCTTTAGATCTACTCTCCACCTTTTTCAACTTCAGTCTCTATCCTGAGAGGTTTACCTTTATGGAATACATCAGTTGGGCTCCCCGATCCCTGACTTCGGTTCCAACTCAGCCAGTGGGAGGCATTCGCAGGAGATCAGAGGGTGGAAGAGTGAGGTCAGGGTGTTTAGTGCCTTGGCTCCTTCCTGGATCTGCCCCTGTTCAACAGGGGTAGTGTCTTCCATATTCAGCTACAGTTCCTGCTGGAGGTCTGCTCCTACCTCCACAGCTCTCTCAGGTTCTGAAATCTGCTCTTTCCTGGCCTCTTCAGGCACAGGATGAGAAGGTCTCCCACTGGCGGCCTAGACGGCCAAACTCTTTCCTTTGTATCTCTTTGCCCTACCCACACCTTATAAATAGCTGTTTATGAAACTCTCTTTAATGACTCCTTTTGACTGCACCACTTCCTTCCTGCCAAGATTCTGACCAATATATGAAATAATAGGATACAGGAAAGAAAACACAAAACTCACTGTAGCATAAGAAAAAACTCAGAGGCCAGGCGCAGTGGCTCACATCTGTAATCCCAGCACTTTGGGAGGCCGAGGCAGGAGGATCACGAGGTCAAGAGATTTGAGACCATCCTGGCCAACATGGTGAAATCCCATCTCTACTAAAAATACAAAAATTAGCCCAGTGTGGTGGCGGGTGCCTGTAGTCCCAGCAACTGGGGAGGCTGGGGCAGGAGAATCGCTTGAACCCGGGAGGTGTTGAACCCAGGAGGTGGAGGTTGCAGTGAGCCGAGATCACGGCACTGCAGTCCAGCCTGGTGACTGAGTGAGACGCTGTCTCAAAAAAAAAAAAAAAAAAAAAAAAAACCCTCAGAAAAGTTTTTTTGGAAACTATGTGCTGGGGGAAACTAAGCATTTTGCGTGCATTCGTTCATCTCACCCTCACAATTGGCCTATGAAATGGTCATAATATTGATCCCGCTGTGAGGCTTAGGTTTTCAGTAACTCTCCAAGAAGAAACAAGACCATATCTAGGTGATACTGAGGTTCAGAGTGCATCTGTTCCTGCTCAACAATGAGCAGAAGCATAGTGGGGAGACGAGAGCACAGGAAGTCAGCATCTCAAGAAAGACCTCTAAGCTACAGCTGAGCACATGGAAACATCTTTGGTGTCTGTAAGAAAGAAAGGGCCACAACAGGGGGCGCACACCTGCCTTCCATCTAGTCTCCCTCCTGGTTGCTTACAGCTAGTCCCCATCCAGCACCAACTTGAGCCACAGCTTCTCCCTCAGCGCCACAAAGGAGGGACTTCCTGCTCACGCCACACCTTGTTCTGCCTAGAAGACTCTACTTCTTCCTAGTATCCAGAGTCCACTCAGAAAGGCAGTCCAGTCCTCCTGCCCTCCCTTTCCTGTCTGTTCTGATTCCCTGGATCATACCTGGCTGAATTGTAAAATGCGATGCAGGAAAGGGAGTTTTGTTTCCTTCAACCAGCAAAAAATGCACAACCCTACTGTTTTATTTCTTTAAAGATTGTTTGTGAGTGCCTCCTCCAGATCCTCTGAGAGTTTGATGGTAGTTGTGTAGTAATAGAGCCAGGAGTTGAAGTGGTCATGATAATTGCAGATGCCACCTCCGACAGAGGTTGTCAGTTGCTTCCTAAACATCAATTATCCTCTATTCCTTACTGAGGAATGCTGCTTTTGTTGGAGGATGTGATGTGCCCAGGGAAAACACTATAGTTACCAGTTCTGCCCCTTGCAAATAAGGGTGTTCATGTGTGATACAGTTTGGTTAATGATACTTAAGCAAAAGTCATTTGGTGAGGCTTCCAACAAAGCGTCCTATCAGCTGCACAGACTCAACAGGTGCTGAGAATTTTCCCTTTAGCTCTTTCCCTTTTCCTTACCCCTGCCTGGAATCAGGTCATGATGCCCAGGGTGGAATGAACACAGCCCATTTTGGTCCCCTAAGGTTGATGAAGCAGAAAGATCGCAGGGGCGTGGCACACTTAGGACATCTTATAGCTGCTGCCCCAGGCCTGGGCAGCCTACTCTGGGACTTCATGGGGAGGAGGGTAAGACAAGGGTGAGCCTACTTGGTTAAGTACTTACAGCTGGGGTTTCTAATCTACATCCCAGAATATCTTCTTCTGACTCTGTACTGCCCAATCCCACAGCCACCAGCCACATGTGGCTAATGAGCATTTGGATTGGGGCTTTCACTAGTGAATAGCTGGTTTTCATGTTATTTTAATTAATTAAAGTTAAATTTTAAAATGGAAGCAGTGGAAGAATTTTTTTTTCACACAATTTTATAGTTTGGATAGAACCTTAGGTGTTGAAAATGTTACACTGGTTTGACATGTACTGTAGGTGCAAACTACACATCAGATTTCAAAGACTTAGTCAAAATAAGTAAGAATGTAAAATATCATTAATATTTTAAAATTATTGATCACATATTGAAACAGCATTCTGGATATATTGGATTAAATAACCTTATTGAAACTAACTTCATCTGTTTCTTTTCACATTGCCAACTGGCTTCTAGAAAATTTAAATTCACACGTGTGGCCCACATTATTTTTGGACAGTGCTGCTCTACTGATGCTGCACCCATTCTGTGCCCCTGGAGTGTCAGGCTCTGTGATGAACACTTTAAACACATTCAGCTCATGAAGGTCCTAAAGTAACTGTTTGCACGGGAGTGGGTAATATTGCCTTCATTTCGCAAGTGCAGAAAGAGAGGCCCAAAGAGGCTGCCTTGCCCCAAAGCTCCCAGATCATTAGGGCAGGCCCACAGTGTCAGACTCCTTAACTTGTGGGCTCAACCGCCATATGCTCAAGGGTAACTTACTCTTGAACTGTGCCCAGATCATGATAATTTCTACATCTAAGTTGCTGCTGCTTGCAGACCAACAAGTATGGCTACAAAGACTGAGAGAGAATTTGCTCTCAGGGTAAGATTTGCCAGAGGAAGCTGGAGTGTTCCACATGCCAGCTGTCATCAGAGGCATGATAAAGTTGATCGAGGTTGCCCAGGTACAACCAGTAACCCCCATCTCTCCAGTAACAACAAGCAATAGATTTTGAGGCATTCTGTGTCACCTTGGTATAAATCCAGACATGGTGGTGATGAGGGCTGATATTAGTGGGAAGGCTAGTGCTACGCTAGAGAGAGGCCAAAGAATGAAATTCACAGGCCTGTTCAGCGAGTCTGCAGTTGAGTCACCAACAAAAGTCAACTTTCATTTTGAGAAAAAATGTTTCTCTTGTAATTCAATGATCTAACTTAAGTCCACAATCTCAGCTTTATGTCCATTCTTTTTCCACAGCCCATTTGTAAGTTTGTTTCTTCCTTTCTTAAGAAAAACACAAGCCCAAGCTGGCATTTTTATATGAGACCTGGATGTCTTCACATTTGCAGTGGACACGAAACACTTTATCACCCCCTCGGTAGCTTTTTGGATACTAAGGCTAACTTGCCACTGACAGAAATATTTTGTTTCTGATTATTTTGCCAAACTGAGGTATGTGCGGTTTTGCTGTAAAACATTCTACTAATGTGGACAGAATTGTTTTGTGTGTATCTCTATGCATCCTGACAAGAAATAGTGGGCTAGGAGATGGACACAGATATTTTTACTACTGTGGCAATAATGTTTTACATTTCGACAGCGCTTTCCAAATCACAGCATCTTCCAAAGCACTAGAGGTGGTGATAACTTGATGCATTGTTGAAATACAGCAAGTACTTTGGCACTCCAGCATCACATATAACCTTTTAGACCAGGAAGCAAAGGATGGAGGGTTTCTGCTGCATTGAGAAAAATAATAAAACACATTTCTGTGATGGTTATGTCCAAGAGCTTAGAGCACTTTTCAGGGTTTTCTCTGCAAATCTTTATTGTTCTCATCAGACCTCAATAAAATAGGAAAGAACAACTGCTATTAGCTACCCTTTACAAGCTCAGAAATAGGGACAGAGAAAGCTTTGGATTCTGAAAAGATTACCCAGTCAGGCAGTGATGGGGTCAGATATGGACCCTGTCACCACCTGCCTGTGTACAGGATGGCCAGCTGACCCTGGACACACCAATTCGTGTTATTTTCCATTATTACTTTTTGTAGTTATATTTGAAACAGAGAAAGACTTCACATTGAGGAACATCCCTCCTTTAAGCTTGTCTTATTGTTATCTCTCTGTCCTCCCATACATCTTTCCTTAATCTTCCTTTTGTTCTCCTGCCTTCTTTTTCTCCATCACACTTTTCTTTCTGCCCCACTTTTTCTTTGTCTTTCTCCTTTCTCACTGTCTTCCACATAAGATCATCTTTCGCCATCCTCCTTCCTAGGATGGAGTTGCAGTCCTATCTGGGGTTTCCTCCTCAAACTCAAGTGGTTATCAACCCCAACGCAAACTTTGTGGGGCATGTGTTTCCACATGTGGCCACTAGGGGGTGTGTGCACAATATCTGTGTGTGTGGTTTATTTTCATTTTTAAAAAATTTTTTTAAGCTGCAGAAAGACAGCCAGGATGGCTCGATTCTCTTGTCAAAGAAGAGAGCTGGTGAGAGAAACTGAAGTTTCCATCCACCAAATACTGAGGAGGGTATAGATTTGCAGGGCAGATGGATATAGACAGAAAAACAGGTGTCTTCAGGTATGTGAGTGACTGCGATTGAAGGTCTGATTCTACCCATCCTCACAATGGGTGGAGTGTGTGTGTGTGTGTGTGTGTGTGTGTGTATGCATGCAAGCATGTGTCCAATTCTCCACTTACTACCTCTGGGTCACTTAAACCTTCTGAGTAACAGTTTCCTTATCTCTAAAAAGTGGTGGCTTGTGACTACCTGAATGCAGGAGGATTTTGGAGCTTGTTTGAGTAAAATACAAGGGAGCCACTCACAGACCAACTAGTCCTTGGTGAAGGCACTCCAGATCCACACAGGGCTTTGAACTGTGTGAAGCCTCCAAACTTTGAAGAGTTGCTTTGTGTCCTCCCCAACTTGTGTCAAGGCTTTTCAGCCACAGTTACAAGGTTTGAAAAAGTATTTCCTGCTGTAACTGACTGGAGTCAGGGTTCAGAGTGAACACTCTTGGTGTCTTTCTCCCTGATACATAAAGGACTGATTTCTAGGTAAGGATGTGCCATCTTTTGGTGCCTGTCTTACATGACAAATGCATTGGCCTCAGATGGCTGGGTAGCAGTGCTGTTCTGGGACTGCATTTTAGGAGACACAGATCCAGAATGAATGCTGAGTGCTTGCTGTGAACTGACCTCTGGACCAGGCACTGGGGCTGGGCAGCTGAGCAGGCTCTGAGGACAGTGTGAAGGCAAAGGGGTCCACAGATGACCAGGACCAGATGTGTCAAGTGTGAACAGGAGCACAAACAATGCTACTGGAGCGGAGAGGATGGAGAATGGAAAAGCTTTAAAATGCATGTGGTGCCTATGTGAGCTTAATCCTTCAGTTTCAACCTCAAAATGATCTTGTGAGGAGGACAGTAAGCAGGGCAGCTGGGGCCAAGCTGAGGTCTCTCTGGCCTTTGGTGCAGTTGGATTAGGATTTCACAGTACGGCATTGCAGAGGTTTGGAGTAACTGGGATAGGATTCACCTTCTTAAACAAAAGGAAGAGGAAGCTTGTAGTGTGAGCAGCTGTCCTGTGCAAATATGAAAACTTCCTCACACACACTCCCTACATTTTGTGTCTCCTCTGATGACACTGAGTTGCTGCAGCTGTTTGACTTATTATAGTTAGTGTCATAAAGGCCAGGGACTTGTCTGTCTCTCCCCAGGAGTCAGTCAGTGGGGGAAGAGGAGGCAGGTGTGGATTCTGGCGGACAGTGCCATGGTGGTGGGCTGGGGCCACAGGGACTTGCTGTGTTTTCTGAGATGACCCAGTGTCACTGGGTGGGGTGGGTTTGGGAAGTACCCTTTTGTCTCTGGGGCTGAGAGGCTAGTCCCAGACCTGGACGTGAGAAGAAAGAGCAGCCACAGCTCCTCATTGCAGTGCGGGGCTTCCAGTCCAGACCTGGGCGTCTGGTCAGTCTAACCACAGACTCTGCAGATGGAGTACGCAGCCCCAGTGCCCTGGCCTTACGGGCCTTTGGAGAAGTCTGTTCTGTCCATGGCTATGTCCCCGGTACCCAGAGCAGTCTCTGCCCATAGTATGTGTTCAGTGAGCACTGGTGTATTCTAGAGAGACCTCTTACGGCCTGGAAGCCGAAAGACCTGAGTGTGAGTACCACCTGCAGCTGCTTGTGGGAAAATCACCACCTTTCCCAAGACCTGATTTCTCCTTTTCAAAAGGGTCAGAGGGTTAGTGCCTGCAGGGCGGTGATCTCATGAAGACCAGCAGAGTGTGCAGCACGGCGTGGAGGTGCCCCACAGCCAACGGCTCCGCCAGGTTGGTGGGTGGGGACAATTTCCTGAGCATCTCACAGAGACATTCATCTCCCTCCTCCCTGGAGGACCCCGCGTGGGCACTCCCGGCGCTTGGCACCTGCCCTCTTGGAAGCTTCTCGGAGAAGGAGGGTCTGGAGCAGAAGATTCAGTGCCCTTGCTGTCAGTTTCCTAGTGCATAGCCCTCCTCCACAGCTGCTGGCGGACTGACTCTGCCAGCTCACATCAGGGAGGGATGAAGAGCCAGTCGGGCGTGTCCCAGATTGCTACCTGGGAAGGCAGAACCAGGAAGGGGGAGAAAGAAGGGTCAGAGAGTCAGGTGGGCCTGGGATCCCCGCTGACAGGTGTGGAGCCTTAAGCAAGGTGGTATTAAACTGCCCCGGGCCTCAGTTTCCTTCTTTGTAAGTGGTGATAAATAGAATTTTCCTTATAGGGTGTTGAGAGAGCCATAGTGAATCCGAAGTCGTAAACACAGGGCTGGCACTTAATAAAAACAGTGACTCCTCAAGGTCTGGACTGTCACCGGGGCAGATGGTCTGAATGGAAGACGCAGAGGGAGAAGAGCTGTTGAGAAGAGAGAGTCTTGGACATCCAGGCCCCATTCTTCTCTTCTGGCCTCATCCCAGACATTCTCTGTCCCCTTTTGCCCCTTTACAAGCAGCTGTCAGGGAACCCTACCATAGAATGTAAGTCCTGTGACACAGGAATATAAGCCAGAGGTGTATGCTTCCCTTCAGTTGTAAAAGGAAAAGACATTGTCCTATGAGTCCCTCCTGCTGCCCCGCAGGACTACTGGCATAACCCTGGTTTTGGGGGTGTGGACTGGGAAGCTCAGGCTCCAAGTTAATTAACCAAGCAGCATAGTGAGGTAGGTAGCAGCCAGGATGCAGCCATCCACACTCCTGCCCTTCTGGGTGAGGGTGGTTTGGGAAGTGCCCTTTTTGTCTCTGGGGCTGAGAGGCCAGTCACAGACCTGGAATTGAGAAGCGCAGCCACAAGCAGCCTACAAGTCTGATGCTGGGACCAAGTCAGAAACAGAGGTGCGGCGGTCACAGGTCCTTCACTCAGTCGGCCGGGCTGGGGCGAAGCACCATGTCCAGCAGCGAGGAGTCCACAGATGGGTGTTTGCCCAGCGTCCCTGGAGTTACAGTTGAAGCGAAGGCGAGGGAGGCTCAGAAGGCCCAGAGGATAGCCCTGCAGCAGGGAAAAACCCAAAGCAAAGATCAGCTCAGCATTTCTGATACGCGGGATGCTGTTTTGGGTATTTCATTATGAGTTAACATATTTATTCTCACGAACTTCTTATGAAATAGGTTCTGTTGTCATCTCCACTTGACGGATGAGGACCCTGAGGTGAAGAAACTTGCCCAAGGTCACAGCTAGTGAGCAGCACAGCCATGATTCCAAATCCAGGCTGCTTAATCCCAGAGGCCTTGCTTTTAACTGTGCCATTTTTCTGCTTCTTGCAAGTTGAGACTAAAGAGAGACATGAGGAAGACTCTTACTGGGGACTCTGAAAAGGCACCTTACCCGGGGAGGGGAGGAATGGGGCCTTGAGAGTGAGGGCAATTGAGTACTGGGGCTGGGACTTAGAGCTTCCAAGATTTCTACCACCTCCCACTCCCTTCGAGGTTTGTAAAGCCACCTCCATTTGCACTGGGAGGGCGGGGGCTGCCTGGGGGAGTGTGGGGATTGTCCTCAGGCCATTGGCTGAGAGTGGCATGCCACTGACTTACTCCTCCAAGAGACATTTCCAGTACCCTTCATCCCTCCCCCCTGTATGACACGCTGGGGACGTTCCCCCTCAAAAACAAAACTCAAGCTCTGTCCCTGATGTTCATGGTCTACTGAAAACAGAATTACAGCTGACTGTGAATGACCTCTGACCGAACTGGGGGGACACAGAGAAGTGACTTGCTTTGCTAGGGAGGTCCTGATAGGCTGTCCAGGGAAGGTGACATTGAGGCTGGGACTTGAGCTGGGTGTTTGAAGGCAGGAAAAACGTCAGGGCAAGGACTGAAGTCCTTGGCCTTCCTGGGGGACGTTTACTCCACATGCCTCGGGAAATATGAAAAGGCCTGGGAGCGCATTTGCTGGGGGTTGGGGGTGGGCTGAAGGGGACAGAGGGCATTGCCACCGACAGGCGGGGCGTCCCAGGGCCTCTCCCCGGGAGCGGATGAGCTCAGACGCGGCTCACTCAGCTGTGTCCAGGCACAGCCGGTTTATGACCTAAGACAATGACAACCCAGGAGCAAGTCGGGATGACAAAGACGCCCAGAAGGACACGCGCTTTTATGTAACAGACCTCTGAGCTGGCGGATCGCAGGAGGTTGGCGCTCTGAGCTCAGGCGAGGAGAAAGTACGGCGCCCCTGCCTTACTCTCTTGTAAATACGAGGGGACAGCAACGCGACATAACTTAAAGAAGTCCACGGAGCTTTAGAGAGCAGGACGGTCCCGCTGCTTTTCCTCAGAGCGCGGCTGGGGCGAACTGGGGCGCCCTTCCCAGCTCCAGCTCGACCCTTGTCCCCTCTTCCCAGGATCACTCGCTGGGTGACCTTGGGCGAGCCACTTGACCTCTCTGAGCCCCCGTTTCCCAGTCCGTGCATCTGGAAGGCTGTAAGAGGGTCGTGGGGCTCCCCACTCGACCCTCAGGGCCAAAGGTGGGCGCCAGGCACGCGGGAGAGGCCCTTGAAGCACCCCTTCTCGCAGACGCCCCGTTAGTCCCGACGGGCACGCAGCCGAGAGCGGCCCCAGGAGGCGGCGCGCGGTGGGGCGGTGGGCGCCAGTGCGCAGGCGCGGGGCGGCGGGGCGGGGCGGGGCGGCGGGCGTGGGGCGGGGCCGGGCGGGGCGGAGCCGGGCAGGGCGGGGCCGTAGGCAAGCGCTGGGCGCTCGGCGCGGCGGCTCAGAGTGCGCGGGGAGGCGCGCGGCGTGTAGGTTGCAGCTGTGGCTCGGGCGCTGGCAGGTGCTCGCGGGACTGGCGGGGATCGCCGTGGACTGCCTCAGGGGCGCCGAGCGCGCCGCCCGCCCTACCCGAGGGCCCGCCTAACCGCGCCGCCCGCGCCCGCTCCTCCTCTGCCCGCGCCCGGAGCGCGGGGGCCGCCGGCGCTGGGCACTCGGCGGCCACCGGGGATCGGGGCTCAGCGGCCGGTTCCCGCCCCCGTGCCGCCGCCGCCGCCTCCTCCCAGCCGACTGCCCGGCTTGGCCGCAGCCGCCGCGTCTGGCCCCCGGGTCCGCGCCGCTGGGGGCGCGGGCGGAGTCGGGGGTTGCCTGGCGCCGCCGCCCGTGCGCCTGGAGTCCACGTCCCGGGCCCGGCGGCCGGCGAGCATGGAGGAGAAGTACCTACCCGAGCTGATGGCGGAGAAGGACTCCCTGGACCCCTCCTTCACGCACGCCCTGCGCCTGGTGAACCAAGGTGAGGCGCCGGCCGTTAACTGCCGGCCGGCGGCGGTTGGGGGCCGGGTGGAAACGCGGGGGCCCGGGGGGCGCCTCCGTGCGCTCTGCTGTCAGCGGACGCGGCGGAGACGGAGGCCCGAATGGCCCCCGGGGGTGTTTGCACGGGGACCTGGGAGGCTGTGGGACACCTAGGGGAAGACCCCCATGTGAATTTTGGGGACTCGGAAAGGAAGGAGAAGGCTGGGGCGCATGGGTGAGACTTGAAGGAAATCTTTGAGGACTCGGAGACACCCAGGGGAAACTTCTGGGTAGGGGACAGCGACCATCTGGGGGCTTTGTTGGGGACGAGGTTGAATTATCTCATGGGAAGGGAGCGTGTTAGACTTGGGGAAGTAGGGTGTTTGGATTGTCTAAGGTACTGGAGAAAAAGCTGGAGGAAAATGGAAGGACTTGAGGGACTCAAATGCAGAGGAGGCGAAGGGAACAGGTGCTTGGATTGTTAGCGAAGTTTGGGGACCTTGGAAGAGGGTTGGGGTCATACCCCAGCACCTGAGAGGAGAGGAGCTCCGTGGTCCCAGGGGAGGAGCCCAGTTCACCCTCCCAGCCCTTTGTCTCTCCTGTGTCCAGGCTCCAGCAGCCCTGGCGGGGCAGTCAGCCCTCCCCGGGGTGGGGTGGGCAGCCCATGCCAAGCCTTGCAGGCTGGCCCTTGGAGAAGTCAGTAGGGGAGAGGAGGCCGGCAAAAGAGCATCCTTCTGGGGGTCGTTGGGTTGGGTGGCCCTCATTGGTGGCTGGCTTGAGGTTTGGAACAGTGGTGAAGGGAATCCTTGCCGTTTTCACACGACTCCAGCCAGCTCATGGTGTGAAAGGTCCTAGGAAGTACTGCCGGAGAGGGATACAGGGGTATCTGGAGGCACGCCTACCCGGGACCTTGTTCCCCTGGCTTTCTCCTCCTGTGGCTTCCTGAATCTGCTGGGATGCACGGTAAATTAAGCCTTCCTTCCTGGGAGCAGTCTCCTACTTTTCCTGGAATATGTGTTTCAGATGAAGATGGGTGTGGGGGCCATTGGTCTGTCTTTTCTCTGGGAAATGGCAGCAACATGATCTGGTCGGATCTGTTACCTTTTGCAGGAATTACTGTGCACTGACAGTTTGTGGTTCCCTGGATGTATCGGATCTGCTGCTCTCAGTGCTCGCCCTGGCTCTTTTATTGTTGGAAATGAAAGATGAGGCAGACATATTCTATTTGTATATAGATACCTATATTTTAAAAGAGTGACCTCCACTATTTGCCTGTTTCAGCCAGTTCTTCAGAGTAGGGTGTGTGCGTGGTCGACCGATGATGGTAGAGAGACTCTTACTGTCTCCAAGAATTTAAGAATATTTGAATTGTTGAACAGAAATAGGCTTATGGAGCTCCCCCATTTTATTTTAATTGCAGGCTTATTTTCATTTCTTTAATAAAATGGGCTTGTGAAAAAGTAATGGGCATGCATTACTAAATAAAAGAAAAGAATTTCCTAAGTTTGATTTCTGTGCCCTCTGAACAGTTCTGCAGTTGAGTTTGTACTCCTTGCGCCTGATGATTTACATGTATCTTTTATTGCCTGCTGGGCTGTCGTCTCTGTGAAAGAAATTTCTTTGTACATTGCATGAGATCCGTGGAATTGGAAATATTCTGGACTGTGGACTCAAGTGCATTTTTCCTAATAGAGAGGCCGAATCAAAGTTAAGTTGTACTTAATTAAGGAACAGTTAAACTAAAAGTGTAGTGTGTTATCTTATTTTTAAAAGTCAGAATGATTTTCTCTGCCATGTTTCCATAGTATTGTGTTGCTAAAACGTCCAAAATTCTTTTGGATTCTGTGTTTTTACTAGTGTTAATGGCTTCCAGTTACTTGAAGCAGATATTTACTGGGGAAATGTTGCCATTTAGTGTTTTTTAGATGTTAAACTTGATAAACTTACTTTTCGTAAAAGTAATTCTTGTAAGAAGTATATTTCTCACACGTGAAGGAAGGAGGTGGTGCTGCTCAGAAGCTTGTCTTACTGTTAGATTACTTCAGACTGAAACGTTTTTCTCTTAAATCACAGGCTGATACTCAGAATGCAAAGCTTTATCACTTAAAACATTAATTACACTCTTACGTAGGTCCGAAATTACAAATGTTTTAAATCTGAAGCTACATGATTGTGAGGAAGCTTTGATTTTAAATCCAACCGTCTTGTTATGGGCTATATGAAAGCGTTTTTTCTTCATTTCGTTCTATTTGTGTTTGCCTCTAATGCAACTGTGTTTTCAGCAGTTATTCACATTGAAGTTGGTATTTTGGCACTAAATTGTAGAGTGGGCCAGCATGGCGAACCGTAGCGTGCCATGTAATAGATACATTTTATGGTATCTCTAAACTCTAACAAGGCCTTATGTTTGCATAGTATTTTAAAGTTTCCAAGGCACTAGTTTCGTCCTCACACTTGCATTCCGGTAAGGCAGATGTTCATGCTTTCTCTTTTCAGGGAGGGAACTGAGGATCCCAGCCATCTAAGCTTGTGGGCAACTGAGATTTAATTTGAACTCTCAGGTCTTCTGTCTCTGAAGATATTGTTCTTTCTTATTTTGCCTTCCTAAAATGTTGAAATGAAATACTTCTCACTTGCTAACTTCAAACCCTGCAGAAATCAATATTAGTATGATTGTTTCCAACTGACAATGTATAGGAAGTAATATATATCCTTTAGGAAGTTTATCCTGATTTTTCCAAAAAGTTTCTGTCTGCACTTGCCTTCTTTGCAGAAGCAAACATTTATGGTAGATTTATCTTCCAGGATTTTGATGCTGAGGCCAAGAGGCACTTTTGAATTAAAGCCCTCCTGTGACCATTATATTAGTTTAATAATCAATGAATTATGATAATGAAACAGTTTATAGATGAGGTGTAGTCGTTCTTTAAAAATTCAGTATTCGTAAAGATTGATCAACTTCCTAACTGAATTACTCTTTTTCTTTGTTGAGCTAGAATGACAATAAGAGATATACTCCTGTCTGGTATACATTGGCTTTTATGTTTTTTCCAGACTTGTGTTTCATGGTGGGCATTGATTGCTGATTTTATTTTCATTTTACAAGGATAACTAGTTCTCCTCCTCCACCTCCTAAATGAATTCGTTTCCCGAATATTTATTTATTTATTTTTTTGAGACGAAGTCTCACTCTGTTGCCCAGCCTGGAGTGCAGTGATGTGATGATCTAGGCTCCCCGCAACCTCTGCCTCCTGGGTTCATGTGATTCTTCTGCCTCAGCCTCCCAAGTAGCTGGGACTACAGGTGCTTGCCACCTTGCCTGGTTAATTTTTATATTTTTAGTAGAGACAGGGTTTCACTGTGTTGGCTAGGCTGGTCTCGAACTCCTGACCTCATGATCTACCTGCCTCAGCCTCCCAAAGTGCTGGGATTACAGGTGTAAGCCACCACTCGTGGCCTCTGAATTTGTTTCTCTAACAAAATTAGTGGTTAATGTTTATTTGATATTAAAACTCAGTCAAAGAAAATAGGCTTTGGGATCCCACTCCGGACCCCCACTTAGTGCCTGTAGGGTGAATTGACATTGCAGTTCTTGCCAAGGAGAGGTTAATTGGAGATGAAAGTAGTGTTGCATGTTTTATATTTGCTAGTAGGGGATGTGCTGACTCTTACTAAAGAAACATCTTTAGAAATGTCTTATGCATTATAATTTCATCCAAGTCTCTGATATTGGTTTGGATGGTTTTCAATACAAGCCAAGTAACCATTAAATAAGATTACATAATGCTGTATTTTTAATTATCTGATATAATGTATGGATTGGTGGCTGGCTCACTGCCAAGTTACATTTAGTTGTCGTTGATTACAAGAGAAAGTGGAGCAGAGGATTCAAGATTAAGGTGGTCCAGATTTGTGTCTAGGTTGATAAAAGTTTTTTGTTGGTATGTCAAAATGTTTTTTATATCAATTTCTCAAATATTACAACTCTTAGCATTACTTAGAATAAATGTGGGGGATAAAAATACATTAAGGAAGGATATTATTACTTTACTTTATATACACCTCTTTGTAATCCACAAAACCCAGTGGCTTAAAACTTGATTTTTGAGGACCCGTTTTGGAAAACATTTCGGATTTGCTTGAATGTCACAGACTTGTAAAGTGAGAGAGTAAGAATGAGAATTGCAGAATTGTATTTAGGTATGGTGCCTTCATGCTGTAGTTTGTGATTTTCTGTTTTCTCCAAAGGAGGATGTGATTATTTAGTTTTTAGTTTTGTATTGTTTTTCTTTGTGTTATCAGTTTTTTTTTTTGTTTTGTTTTATAAGAAAATGCAATCCCTTAGTATTAGATATGCCATGTCTTGAGTTTTATGCAGTGTATTATGATCCAAAGTGACCCAGTGATTGGGAGGTACAGGGTTTTGGTACTGGACATTAGTAACAGGCTTCTAGAGAACCTGCCATGCCGGTTATCTGTGTTGGGTCCTAGGGGTAGGGAGGAAAAACAGTCTGCACTGGTGAGAAGCTCCTGCTCTCCTCTGTGTGCGTTTGAGAATGAGTTTTCAGTTTGTAGATGCCCTCTTTGCTAAGGGACATCCTAGTCCTTCAAATATGCTGAACTATTTAGTGATTGGATGGCTTAGATTTACTATTAATAAATCAGCCTGTGGACATTTTTGAGGCACTTGTTGGTACTGGGTCATGTTTGTAATCTCGATCCTAGTAACAGCTCAGAGATGGAGAGGTTATTAGCCCAGGTTTTCAGTTGTAGAAACCAAGATTCTGACAACTAAAGTGACTTGCCCACGGTGACATGCTTCCAGTAATAAAATGTCAGAGTGAAGGGTCAAGCTTTGTTCTTTTACAAGTTCATTGTTCTTTTTACCATGTCCTACTGACTCTCAGAGGTCTAAAGGGCTAAGTTACTGGTCAACCTGTGGTGGTATAATTAGTGAATGACAGAAGGAGAATGAAAACCCTGGCTTTTTTTATGTGCAGT